TTCTTTGAGGAATTTGTCGAATTATCCTTCCATTAACATGGAGATGGGCTTTGTCCAGCCCGTGTTAACATGTAATGTAAGTTCATCCTTCTCAAGCCTTCAAACTTTGTTCTAGTATAGAGTTGGGTAGGCATCATTTCCTCCACTATTGTTTACTTTGCTGTTTACATCTGATTGGATGTTTGTAACAACTACTAGTTTTAAATTGTAGTTGTAAAAACATGTTCCTTATGCAGAACAGATCCATTTATTTGCTTATATAATTGTGAAACATGTTACGTGTCTCCTTGTTTCTCTTTCAGAGTCGTATCTCTTATGCCAGGCAGAACTTTAGGGAAGATAGTGAGCCAAATCATATTGAGGATAGCGAGATGACCCCAAGGTCCTGTCTTGATGAAGACAGTGAGTTGAAGCTACTCACTAGCAGGTGTGAGACAACTTCTATGCAGTCACTGCCTCAATCAGTCCGACTGCTTCAGTCTCAACTTAAAGCGAAAAGGATTGCTTAAGCTCAGCTCTGACTTGAAGTCAAAGATGCAAAGAAGATGTCAGCGGACTGACATGCGCACTATCGTGCCATACAGCTAGGGATGGAGCATCTATCATTGACACAACTGAGGTCTCATCAGCTTGTTCGGCTACTTGCGGGGCCCGTCCTGTAAAGGCCTAGTGCCTTCTGAAGTGCTCTCAATTTTGTATATTCTTTTGTCGGCGTGTTTATATGCACTGGTGGCGACCTTTGATGCCCAGTATATGTAATCCGCGGTCACGTTGGCTTTATTATCACTGGTAGCGAACTTTGATTCCCAATGGATGTAATATGTTGTAATTTTGTTATTGTATAGTCTAGGTTTATTCTTTGGTCGGTATGATGTAATTTGGGCCGGAAGGTTCGGTGGATCTTATTGTTGTCGGTCTTCAGGCCGGCTCGTTACTCATATGGGCCAAAACGTGGGCCTATAATCATCTTGGGCCATTAACAGATCTAAACCAATAGTAGTTTCCCGCCTTTAACAGGCCAAGTAAAGTTCTAGCCAGCTGGGCCAGAGAATACCATGGGCTTTTAACAGGCTAAAACCTAGATTGGTCCAGCGTTGGGCCGAAAAATTCATGGGCCAATACATGCCAAAATGGCCTAAGGCCCATGTTTGGCCCAAATAGGACGAGCAGTTAACAGGCCAAAATATATCTTGGGCCAATTTGGCCCAATAAAATTATGGGCTTTAAGCAGGTTGGTATCCATGCGGGCCATAGGTCCAAAAGTGTCATGGGCCATTATCAGATGGGCTGTAAGCAGGCCTGATTCAACGCGGGCTGTAATTAGGCCCAACTATTCCACGGGCCATTAACAGGCCGATAGGCCTGTTGGGCTGAAATTTATCCACGAAGACTACGGGCCGTTAAGAGGCCTAAAGTTACTCCGGGCAAGAAATAGCCCAGTTTTTGCATGGGTTGTTAAAGGGCCTAAAGTTAAACCGGGCCGACAGCGTCCCAGATGCACCACAGGCCGCTAACAGGCCGAAACTATTATCGGGCCGAACTGGTTAATGGGTATTTAACAGGTTGAAATACAAACCTGTCTTAGAATGGGCCCAAAAGAATAGTGGCATGTTAACAGGCATGATCCGATATGGGCCGTAATTTGGCCCAAAACATGGCAGGATGTGAACGGGCCTGATATGCTATGGGCCTCATTTTGGCCCAAAAGATGGCAGGTTGTTAATGGGCCAGCCCACAAGTGTCTGAAAAAACATGGTGGGCCTTTAGCTGAGCCGGCCTTTTCATCGGAATGGGCCTCTGTTGGGCCGTGCCACGTGTCGACGTATCATAGGCGCCTAATGTCCAATGAGTGGATGACATTTGTCCGAATGTTGAGCCAACACGTGTTTCCTCCGGCCAATAAGAATTTTACACGTGGAAAATCCCCATTGGTCCGGGCTGTTAACGGGTTCTCGGATCCAAAACCGGACCCGATAGCTTAACGGCGACCCGTTACGGTCGATGCCACGTATCGGTCACCCTTGACGAAAGAACTTCTATGACGCGCAATTTATCGTCATGGAAGTGGACACTTCTGTGATGATAATTTTGGTAATGTCATGGAACACTTCTACGGCAGCACAGGTATGACTATCTTGATTCTATCATAAAATTGTCATGGATGTACATGCATGACTGAAAGTGCAACTATCCCTGGATGGTTTTAGTAATTCCTAACAACATATAGCTCATTGAGCTAATGCTATTCCAAGATGAATATTTCAGGAAAGCTCAATGGTTGGCATGGCATAGATTAGAAAGTGGACCCTTCAAAATGCTAAGGATAAAAGATTGGCTCCAGCTCAAAGCACAAGACTCTACATTTTCTATTTTAGTGATCCAAGATCACATTGAGTCTATAGGAAAAGCCAATACTATTAAGAAGGGATGAGGTGTTGCTTAATGAGGTGCTTGCTCAAAATGCTTAGTGATATGCTCCAAAACCCTCCACTACTTTCTCATATCCACATATGTCCCACACCAAATATCCAACTCGGCCCCACCGATTCTTTCTATCCGGCGCCACCGAGTTCAGTTGACATAGCCACTGCCAGAAACCCTAGTCTTTTCGGTCTCACCAATAGGGATCTCGGTCTCACCGAGATGGGATTGTAATCTCTCTGTTTCCCTTCGTAACGTTTCGGTCAAACCGAGATGAGCGATCGGTCCCACCAAGATTGCAATGTAAACTCTCTATTTCCCTTTCGTAACACTTCGGTCCAACCAAGATGAGCGAATTGGTCTCACCGAGTTTGCCTGGCCAACTCTCTGTTAGTCCATTACCAAAATCGGTCTCACCGAGTTTGTGTAACCGGTCTCACCGAGATTACGTTATGCCCTAACCCTAACGAAATCGGTCCCACCGAGTTGACATGTCGGTCCCACCGAGAATCCTAACGTTCACATTTTGAACTAAATCGGTCTGACCGAGTTTCATGATTCGGTCCCACCGAGTTTGGTGATTTGTGTGTAACGGTTAGATTTTGTGTGGAGGCTATAAATACCCCTCCACCCACTCTTCATTCGTGGAGAGAGCCATCAGAACATGCCTACACTTCCTATACATATTTTCTGAGAGAGAACCACCTACACTTGTGTTGAGGTCAAGATATTCCATTCCAACCACATAAATCTTGATCTCTAGACTTCCCGAAGTTGCTTTTCACTCAAATCTTCTTTCTACCAAATCCAATCCTATGAGAGAGAGTTGAGTGTTGGGGAGACTATCATTTGAAGCACAAAGAGCAAGGAGTCCATCATCAACACACCATTTGTTACTTCTTGGAGAGTGGTGTCTCCTAGATTGGCTAGGTGTCACTTGGGAGCCTCCGACAAGATTGTGGAGTTGAACCAAGGAGTTTGTAAGGGCAAGGAGATCGCCTACTTCGTGAAGATCTACTCTAGTGAGGCAAGTTCTTCGTGGGCGATGGCCATGGTGGGATAGACAAGGTTGCTTCTTCGTGGATCCTTCGTAGGTGGAGCCCTCCGTGGACTCGCGCAACCGTTACCCTTCGTGGGTTGAAGTCTCCATCAACGTGGATGTACGATAGCACCACCTATCGGAACCACGCCAAAAATCTCCGTGTCAACATTGCGTTTGCTCTATCAAACTCATCCCTTTACCTTCATATGCAATTGTTTTACATTCCGCTGCTATACTCTTAGAATTGCATGTGTAGGTTGATTGCTTGACTTGTGCTATGCTGCTAAAATTTGCCAAGAACTAAAATTGGGAAAATGCTAGATTTTTATTTGGTCAAGTAGTCTAATCACCCCCACCCCCACCCCCCCCCCACCCTCATGTAGACATACTTTCGATCCTACAATGACAGAAAACGTGACTTACTATGACAAACACGTATCATCACAGAAGTGTCTTTTTTTGTAGTATAGGCATCATGACGTGAGCGAGATGGGAGATATTTATGGTTAGGTAATAATAGTCTGTACGTTGCTTTTATCTTTTTTTAAAGACGAAGTTCCTCTTTTTTTTCCCTGAATTAAGGACGTGGGATGGGTACCTACAAAAAGGGCGTGGGAGATGTGTGCTTACCTGATGGATACGTGAGTTTTTCCTTCATCTTATTAAAAAAATGTTTTTCGTGAGAGACCAGGTCTGGCACGTTACCATGTATGTAAAATAAATAAAGGTACGACACATTAAGGACTTGTCTGTTACCACGATGCTATATATGTTACGCATATCTAACAGTCAGATGATTATAATTTTAAAAGACCAACCAGATCTAGGGCTAGTATTTTCTGATTAACGTGGAATTTTTTAGACTAATTTTTTTTAGGGATAGACTAATTCTCTTGCTTCTAATTAACCCATCATTTACTTTTTATATATAAATAGATGGAAATAAACATGTAATGTGAAAAACGAAAAGTGTGGCGTATATCTCAGGCCTCTGCATCATGAGAAGTAAACATGCCACTCTCATTCTCATTTGATAAGAAAACTGCCAAAAAAGAACCAATATTAGAAAGGAAACAGGTGCATATATGCCGAACAGAGAAAGTAGTGGTTGCACCCACGTTTGATGCACCCACGCAATGAACAGTAAAATCAAATAAAATTGAAACTTTTTAAAAAAATCAGAAACTTTTTGGCATTGCTTATGAGCAAATCTTTTACTAGCTTGCAAAGTTTGATCGCGAAATAGCAACGAATGAACTCCATATGAAATGAAATACAAACTCTTGCTCTTCACCCACTTTTCAGATTTTATATTTGAGCACAAACTTTGTTTTTGTACAAAGCTCCTCGGATATCATTTGGCCACGAAAGTTTGCATGCACCTAAAACATTTGCTCTAATCAGATCTGCAAAGTTCCGGATTTTTTTATTTCTTTATGATAAGTTTTCAATCATGGGTGTAGCGGGGATGCAATGTCTGTGGGTGTAGAATAGCCACGCTCGTACCGAATAATCAGTTATTTCACTTGTTATTTATATGACAGGATGTCTATCCGTAAATTACAATGTGCATTACAAAGTGCACACATATGGCAACCTTCTCATGTCATTGACCAACCAGAGAAATCAAAAGGCAAAGAGAGAAGAAACGTGGTGTAGGAGAGTCAACTATTCAACAGCACCAAGGAATCGCTCCTTAATTACCCGAAGAAGTCAACCGATGGATTAACTAAGAATTAATTAGTACTAATTAGTAGTTCTTGGAGACGGCGGCGGTGGTGAGGGCCTGCCTGAACTGGTGGACGGCGCAGGGCACGCGGAGGATGCCCTCCTGCTTGTACCCGAACTCCTGCGCCGCCATCTCCAGCAGCGCCGACAGCGACGGGTGCCGCAGCGCCTCCACCCTCACAACGAACCGCTCGCATTCCTCCTCGCCGTCGCCCACCACCAGCACCGGCACGCACCCGCGCGGCACGCCGCCGTTGTTGCCATCGCTCACCCGATCCGAGAAGCTCAGCCGCCGGATCAGCTCCCTCATCGCGGTTTATCGCTGACGAACGTAGGAGATACTAGCTAGTATATATATATATAGCTAGCTGTTACCTGTTAGCTAGAGGTTAGATTTCGATCGATCTGAATTTACATGTGTGTTTGTGTTTCTTG